CTGAGCCATTTCTCCAGCCCTACATCTGAATTTTAAAAAAAACGTCTTCTTTAAGACAGACTTTTACTATGTAGCCCAGGTTGGCCTTAACCCCAGACTCATAATTCTCCTGCCTCAGATTTCTGAAAACTGTGATAGACATGTGCCAACCATACTTGACAGCCAAAATCCCAAGAGGACGCCTTCAGACCACAGCACCCAACTCTGCTTTCATTGCCGTTTATTCATTCATCCGTACGTGTGCGGTGTGTGCAGAGGGGCATGTGAGGGTCACAGTGTACACGCAGGGGACAGAAGACAACCTCGGTGTTGGTCCTCACCTTCCTGTTTGAGGCAGGGTCTCTCAGTCGGTCACTGAGGTGCACAGCAGGCTAGCTGGCCCCTGCATTCCTGGGGCCTCTCCTGTTCCCACTTCTCAGCTCATAGTAAAAGCGCTGGGATCAGACTTGCACCACTGAGCCTGGCTTTATGTGGACTCTGGGGATTCAAACTTGAGTTCACACACTTACAAGGGAAGTGTTTTACCCACTGGGTCATGTCCCAGCCTCTGAGAGAGAGAAAGAGAGGAGGAGGGGGGATATAGCTCAGTGATAGAGTGCTTGCCTAGAGTGCATAAGGTCTTAGGTTTATTCAATTATCTAGCACTGCACGAAAAAGAGAGGAGGAGGGGGGATATAGCTCAGTGATAGAGTGCTTGCCTAGAGTGCATAAGGTCTTAGGTTTATTCAATATCTAGCACTGCACGAAAAGGAAAAAGACAGACTAGAAAGATGGCTCAGTGGGTAACGTGCTGCATAAGCATGGAGATCTGAGTTCAGATCCCTAGAACCCACCTAAAATCTGGGTGTGGAAGCCTGTGCCTGGAAGCCAGTGTAGAGACAGGCAGATCAGCGATCTCCAGGGTTAATGAGAGGCCCTGTTTCAAAAAGGGGTGTGTGTGGTAGAGGAAGACACTGGACTCGACCTCTAGCCTCCGCACATGGGCATAGATGGATGCACCACAGAAACACATGTGTGCACACATACAGAACACACACATGCACACACACATACACATGCACACATACAGCACACACACGCACACATATATGTACAGTACACACATGCAGACACACACACATACACACATACAGCACACATGCACATACACATACAGCACACATGCACACACACTACACATGCACACATACAGCACACACACGCACACATACACGTACAGCACACACATGCAGACACACACACATACACACACATACAGCACACATGCACATACACATACAGCACACATGCACACACACATGCGTGCACACACGTGCACTTGTTAATGAAAAAAGAAAAAGACTAAAAGGCATAGTAGGGCTAGGGGTTTAACAGTGGCCTACACCTAACATGTAAGATCAGGGTTTGGTATCTAGTACAGGAAGGAAGGAAGGAAGGCAAAGGGAGGCAGGGAGGAAGGGAGGGAGGGAGGGAGGGAGGCAGG